CGGATGCCTGAACTTCTTTGGCACAGTCGTGCGAAGCAAACCGCGCGAATCCGAGGTGCGACGGGGGGAGAAGGACAACAAACTAAACACGTCAACAACAACGATCGTTTCTAAAGAAATGGGTCTCTGTGTGAGTCTATGAACATTTGTGTGAGTCTATGGGTGTCTGTGTGAGTCTATGGGTCTATGTGTGAGTCTATGGGTCTCTGTGTGAGTCTTTGTGTCTCTGTGTGAGTTTATGGGTGTCTGTGTGACTCTATGGATATCTGTGTGAGTCTACATTTGTGTGAATCTATGGGTGTCTGTGTGATTGTATGGGTCTCTGTGTGAGTCTATGGGTCTCTGTGTGAGTCTATGGGTCTCTGTCTGAGTCTATGGGTCTCTGTGTGTGTCTATGGAGATCTGTGTGAGTCTACATTTGTGTGAGTCTATGGGTGTCTGTATGATTCTATGGGTCTCTGTGTGAGTCTATGGGTCTCTGTGTACGTTTATGGGTCTCTGTGTGAGTCTATGTTTCTCTGTGCGAGTCTATGTGTCTCTGTGCGAGTCTATGGGTCTCTGTGCGAGTCTATGTGTCTCTGTGCGAGTCTACGGGTCTATGTGCGAGTCTAAGTGTCTCTATGCGAGTCTATGGGTCTCTGTGCGAGTCTATAGGTCTCTGTGTGAGTCTACAGTGAGGGAAAAAAGTATTTGATCCCCTGCTGATTTTGTACGTTTTCCCACTGACGAAGAAATGATCAGTCTATAAATGAGGGAAATAAGTATCTGACCCCCTCTCAATCAGAAAGATTTCTGGCTCCCTGGTGTCTTTTATACAGGTAACGAGCTGAGATTAGGAGCACACACGTAAAGAGAGTGCTCCTGATCTCAGCTTGTTACCTGTATAAAAGACACCTGTCCACAGAAGCAATCAATCAATCAGATTCCAAACTCTCCACCATGGCCAAGACCAAAAAGCTCTCCAAGGATGTCAGGGACAATATTGTAGACCTACACAAGGCTGGAATGGGCTACAAGACCATTGCCAAGCAGCTTGGTGAGAAGGTAACAACAGTTGGTGCGATTATTCGCAAATGGAAAAAACACAAAAGAACTGTCAATCTCCCTCGGCCTGGGGCTCCATGCAAGATCTCGCCTTGTGTAGTTGCAATAATCATGAGAACGGTGAGGAATCACCCCAGAACTACACGGGAGGATCTTGTCAATTATCTCAAGGCAGCTGGGACCATAGTCACCAAGAAAACAATTGGTAACACACTACGCTGTGAAGGACTGAAATCCTGCAGCGCCCGCAAGGTCCCCCTGCTCAAGAAAGCACATATACATACCCGCCTGAAGTTTGCCAATGAACATCTGAATGATTCAGAGGATAACTGGGTGCAAGTGTTGTGGTCAGATGAGACCAAAATGGAGCTCTTTGGCATCAACTTAACTCGTCGTGTTTGGAGGAGGAGGAATGCTGCCTATGACCCCAAGATCACCATCCCCACCGTCAAATATGGAGGTGGAAACATTATTCTTTGGGGGTGTTTTTCTGCTAAGGGGACAGGACAACTTCACTGCATCAAAGGGACGATGGACGGGGCCATGTACCGTCAAATCTTGGGTGAGAACCTCCTTCCCTCAGCCAGGGCATTGAAAATGGGTCGTGGATGGGTATTCCAGCATGACAATGACCCAAAACACACGGCCAAGGCAACAAAGGAGTGGCTCAAGAAGAAGCACATTAAGGTCCTGGAGTGTCCTAGCCAGTCTCCAGACCTTAATCCCATAGAAAATCTGTGGAGGGAGCTGAAGGTTCGAGTTGCCAAACGTCAGCCTCGAAAACTTAATGACTTGGAGAAGATCTGCAAAGAGGAGTGGGACAAAATCCCTCCTGAGATGTGTGCAAACCTGGTGGCCAACTACAAGAAACGTCTGACCTCTGTGATTGCCAACAAGGGTTTTGCCACCAAGTACTAAGTCATGTTTTGCAGAGGGGTCATATACTTATTTCCCTCATTAAAATGCAAATCAATTTATAACATTTTTGACATGCATTTTTCTGGATTTTTTTGTTGTTATTCTGTCTCTCACTGTTCAAATAAACCTACCATTAAAATTATAGACTGATTATTTCTTTGTCAGTGGGCAAACGTACAAAATCAGCAGGGGATCAAATACTTTTTTCCTTCACTGTATGTGTCTCTGTGAAAGTCTATGTGTCTCTGTATGAGTATGTGTCTCTGTATGAGTCCATGCGTCTCTGTGTGAGTCTATGTGTCTCTGTGTGAGTCTATGTGTCTCTGTGTGAGTCTTTGTGTCTCTGTGAGAGTTTGCGTCTCTGTCTGAGTCTATGTGTCTCTGTGTGAGTCTCTGTGTCTCTGTGTGAGTTCATGTGTCTCTGTGTGAGTCCATGTGTCTCTGTGTGAGTCCATGTGTCTCTGTGTGAGTCCATGCGTCTCTGTGAAAGTCTATGTGTCTCTGTATGAGTCTGTGTCTCTGTATGAGTCCATGCGTCTCTGTGTGAGTCTATGTGTCTCTGTGTGAGTCTATGTGTCTCTGTGTGAGTCTTTGTGTCTCTGTGTGAGTCCATGTGTCTCTGTGTGAGTCCATGTGTCTCTGTGTGAGTCCATGTGTCTCTGTGTGCATGCTGATCTTCTTTTGCACCACCTAATGTACCCCAGCAGCGCTAATCGGAGGTGTGCGACGGGAAGGACAAGACAAAAAACAGTTCTAAAGAAACGAGTTTTCAATCTCGATGATTTTAGAAGTGCATGGCTCCAAAGCGCCACGGTCATATCGAAATCCATCCGCACGGGGACCGAGTGTCATCGTGCGCCCACTGAGAACCTCACCGCCGAGCCTCGAGACGCGCAGCGTTCACGAGCTTCCTGCCGCGTTCACCGCCGCTGCGTGCCGATTGAGTCGCCGGCGTTCTTTCACCCGGCATCGGGATGTTGTTTGGCCAATACCGGCTGACGTTGTACGAGCGATCGAGCGTGTGTGTGTGTGCGTGTGTGTGTGCGCGTGTGTGTGTGTGTGTGTGCGTGTGTCTCGCCATCACAGGTGGCGGTGCATCGGCCGGCCATCTCAAGTCAGTCGACCCGTGGCGCCTGCTTGGTCTGCCCCGTGACCTCCTGCCAGCGGGCGTTCGACACTTCACGTGGTGGCCCCTCAAGGTGCACATAGCCTGGCACAAGCGTCGTGGTGACGTTACCGCCACTTAGTGGCGATTGGAGGTTGTTGTTGTTGTTGTGCTACGTGGGGAGCGGTGGCCGTAGCGGTAGCGCTGCACTACGAACCCGGCGACCCGAGTTCGATTCCCGCTCACGGCCAACACCAGTGACGCTCATAATCTCAGCCGGTCCTGGGTCCGCTCCCCTAGGTCGGCTCGACCTCAAATGAGTACCCGGTGTGCGGTGCGTAGTAAACATCGCCACCGGGGAGACAAAGGCGGCCGGGCGTGGTGCTGGCCTAGCACCCCCTCGTGTGCCACGGTGCCGGCCTACATAGGTGCCACTCGCTAACAGCACTTGCCCCGACAGTCTGCTAGAGGCTACACGGTGGGGGATCTTTGCCTTCATGTCTAGCTATGGGGGAGGAAAAACCCATGCACAACAAGGGGGAGAGAATACACAGACACTCGCTCTCTCTCTCTCTCTCTCACCCACACTCGCATAAATTATCATCCCACACCCTCGCACAACAATTCACCGACTCGAGTTTCAAACGGACGAGTACCCGGTGCGGTGTGCCGGAGTAAACATCGCCACCGGGGAGACAAAGGCGGCCGGGCGGGCGTGGTGCTGGCCACCCACCCCCTTTGTGTGCCACGATGCCGGCCTTCATAGGCGCTGCTGCTGCTACTCGCTACTAACAGCACTTGCCCAAATTAGTTTGTTAGAGGCGACACGGTGGGGGATCTTTGCGCAATGCCCACCGTGTGTGTGTGTGTACCATCACAATGCCCACCATGTGTGTGTGTGTACCATCACAATGCCCACCATGTGTGTGTGTGTGTACCATCACAATGCCCACCGTGTGTGTGTGTACAATCACAATGCCCACCGTGTGTGTGTGTGTACCATCACAATGCCCACCGTGTGTGTGTGTGTGTACCATCACAATGCCCACCGTGTGTGTGTGTGTGTACAATCACAATGCCCACCGTGTGTGTGTGTGTGTACAATCACAATGCCCACCGTGTGTGTGTGTGTACAATCACAATGCCCACCGTGTGTGTGTGTACAATCACGATGCCCACAGTGTGTGTGTGTGTACAATCACAATGCCCACCGTGTGTGTGTACAATCACAATGCCCACCGTGTGTGTGTGTGTGTACCATCACAATGCCCACCGTGTGTGTGTACCATCACAATGCCCACTGTATGTGTGTGTACAATCACAATGCCCACCGTGTGTGTGTGTGTGTACAATCACAATGCCCACCGTGTGTGTGTGTACAATCACAATGCCCACCGTGTGTGTGTGTGTGTACAATCACAATGTCCACCGTGTGTGTGTGTGTGTACCATCACAACGTCCACCGTGTGTGTGTGTGTGTACAATCACGATGCCCACCGTGTGTGTGTGTGTACAATCACAATGCCCACCGTGTGTGTGTGTGTGTACCATCACAATGCCCACCGTGTGTGTGTGTACAATCACAATGCCCACCGTGTGTGTGTGTGTGTGTACCATCACAATGCTCACCGTGTGTGTGTGTACAATCACAATGCCCACCGTGTGTGTGTGTGTGTGTACAATCACAATGCCCACCCTGTGTGTGTGTGTGTGTACAATCACAATGCCCACCGTGTGTGTGTGTGTACCATCACAATGCCCACCGTGTGTGTGTGTGTACCATCGCAATGCCCACCGTGTGTGTGTGTGTACAAACGGGGTGGGTGGGAAGGCAACTGGGTGACGCTTGCTCCAGGCTAAGTGCACTGAGTCTGGAGCAAGCTGCCGCTGCTGCTGCTGCTACTGTTGTTGTTGTTGTGGGGGGGGGACTCACTCTGCAGGATGTACTCCAGCTCCTCCGTCATGCAGCCCTCCACCGTCTTGGTGCCTTCCTCTTCCAGTCGCTGGTGGATTGCTGCAAGGGATAAAGACGAGATAAAGACACGGTCATTAAGAACCCCCTGGGAGAGAGACACCCAGACCCAGGGCTCGAACCCAGGTTCTCAGTGTCTCTGGCTCAGAGTCTAGGACGCGATCATTAAGAACCCCCTGGGAGAGAGACACCCAGACCCAGGGCCCGAACCCAGGTTCTCAGTGTCTCTGGCTCAGAGTCTAGGACGCGATCATTAAGAACCCCCTGGGAGAGAGACACCCAGAGCCAGGGCTCAAACCCAGGTTCTCAGTGTCTCTGGCTCAGAGTCTAGGACGCGATCATTAAGAACCCCCTGGGAGAGAGACACCCAGACCCAGGGCCCAGGATCTCAGTGTCTCTGGCTCAGAGTCTAGGACGCGATCATTAAGAACCCCCTGGGAGAGAGACACCCAGACCCAGGGCCCAAACCCAGGTCCTCAGTGTCTCTGGCTCAGAGTCTAGGACGCGATCATTAAGAACCCCCTGGGAGAGAGACACTCAGACCCAGGGCTCAAACCCAGGTTCTCAGTGTCTCTGGCTCAGAGTCTAGGACACGATCATTAAGAACCCCCTGGGAGAGAGACACCCAGACCCAGGGCCCGAACCCAGGTCCTCAGTGTCTCTGGCTCAGAGTCTAGGACACGATCATTATGAACCCCCTGAGAGAGAGACACCCAGACCCAGGGCCCGAACCCAGGTTCACAGTGTCTCTGGCTCAGAGTCTAGGACGCGATCATTAAGAACCCCCTGGGAGAGAGACACCCAGACCCAGGGCCCAAACCCAGGTTCACAGTGTCTCTGGCTCAGAGTCTAGGACATGGTCATTAAGAACCCCCTGGGAGAGAGACACCCAGACCCAGGGCCCGAACCCAAGATGTGGATGCGAGCAAGTCTCCGACCCGGCCATTATAATCCTCCAGGGAGGATGTCATTAGCATTAAAATTGCTCCATTTTCCCGTCATTAATAATAATAATCAGAGGGCGACCGCTTTCCAAAAGGGGCTTGTGGGCGGCCCCTCTGGACTCACCCCGCACGTACCGGGGAATCCGTGTCTTGTCTTTGTGTTCGTCTGTGTGTGAGCGTGTGAACATGCGAAAGTGAGAGCGAGCGAGTGAGGGGGAGCAAGTGAGATGAGCGAGTGAGCGAGCTTGTGTGACCGAGCGAGCGGGTATCAGTGAGCGAGGGTGAGCGAGTGAGCGAGAGTGAGCGAGTGTAAGTGAGCGAGTGAGTGAGTAAGTGAGAGAGTGAGTGAGTGTGAGTGAGTGAGCGAGTGTGAGTGATCGTGTGAATGTGATCTTGAGTTAGCGAGTGAGTGAGCGAGTGTGAGTGAGCAAGTGTGAGTGAGCGAGCGTAACGAGTGTAAGTGAGTGAGTGAGCGTGTGAATGTGAGAGTGAGCGTGAATGAGCCAGTGAGCGAGTGAGAGGGCGAGTGCGAGTGAGCGAGTGTCAGAGTGAGCAAGTGTGAGCGAGTGAAAGTGAGCAAATGTGAGTGTGAGCGAATGTGAGTGTGAGCGAGTGAGCGAGTGTGAGAGTAAGCGAGTGAGTGAGCGTGAGAGTTGAGCGAGTGCGAGTAAGCCAATGTGAGAGTGAGCAAGTGAGTGGGTGAGCGAGTGTGAGCGAGCGAGTGTGAGAGTGAGCGAGTTTGAGTGTGAACGTGAGCGAGCGTATGAGCGAGTGTGAGAGTGAGCGAGTGTGAGAGCGAGTGAGCGAGTGTGAGAGTGAGCGAGCGAGTGTGAGCGAGAGTGAGTGAGCGAGCGTGAGCGAGTGAGCGAGCGTGAGCGAGTGTGAGAGCGAGTGTGAGAATGAGCGAGTGAGTGTGAGAGTGAGGGAGCGAGTGTGAGAGTCAGCGAGCGAGTGTGCGAGTGTGAGAGTGAGCGAGTGTGAGAGAGAGTGAGCGAGTGTGAGAGCGAGCGAGTGTGAGAGTGAGCGAGCGAGTGTGAGAGTGACCGAGCGAGTGTGAGTGCGAGCGAGTGTGAGAGTGAGCGAGCGAGTGTGAGAGTGAGCGAGCGAGTGTGAGAGTGAGCGAGCGAGTGTGAGAGTGACCGAGCGAGTGTGAGAGTGAGCGAGCGAGTGTGAGAGTGAGCGTGCGAGTGTGAGCGAGCGAGTGTGCGAGTGCGCGAGTGAGTGTGAGAGTGAACGAGTGTGAGAGTGAGCGAGTGAGCGAGCGAGCGAGCGAGCGAGTGTGAGAGCGAGCGAGTGTGAGAGTGAGCAAGTGAGCGAGCGAGTATGAGCGAGGAGTTTGTATTCTCTCCCCCTGCTCTGCGTGGTTTTTCTCTGACTTCACCGGTTTCCTCCCAAAGTAAAAACCAAAACCCCACACAATGTAACCGGTAAAGAGTCAAAACTCCACACAATGTCACCGGTAAAGAGTCAAAACCCCACACAATATCACCTGGTAAAGAGTCAAAACCCCACACAATGTAACCGGTAAAGAGTCAAAACCCCACACAATGTAACCGGTAAAGAGTCAAAACCCCACACAATGTAACCGGTAAAGAGTTAAAACCCCACACAATGTAACCGGTAAAGAGTCAAAACCCCAAACAATGTAACCGGTAAAGAGTCAAAACCCCACACACTGTCACCGGTAAAGAGTCAAAACCCCACACAATGTCACCGGTAAAGAGTCAAAACCCCACACAATGTAACCGGTAAAGAGTCAAAACCCCACACACTGTAACCGGTAAAGAGTCAAAACCCCACACAATGTAACCGGTAAAGAGTCAAAACCCCACACAATGTCACCGGTAAAGAGTCAAAACCCCACACAATGTAACCGGTAAAGAGTTAAAACCCCACACAATGTCACCGGTAAAGAGTCAAAACCCCACACAATGTCACCGGTAAAGAGTCAAAACCCCACACAATGTAACCGGTAAAGAGTCAAAACCCCACACAATGTCACCGGTAAAGAGTCAAAACTCCACACAATGTCACCGGTAAAGAGTCAAAACCCCACACAATGTAACCGGTAAAGAGTCAAAACCCCACACAATGTCACCGGTAAAGAGTCAAAACCCCACACAATGTCACCGGTAAAGAGTCAAAACCCCACACAATGTAACCGGTAAAGAGTCAAAACCCCACACAATGTAACCGGTAAAGAGTCAAAACCCCACACAATGTAACCGGTAAAGAGTCAAAACCCCACACAATGTCACCGGTAAAGAGTCAAAACCCCACACAATGTAACCGGTAAAGAGTCAAAACCCCACACAATGTAACCGGTAAAGAGTCAAAACCCCACACAATGTACCGGTAAAGAGTCAAAACCCCACACAATGTCACCGGTAAAGAGTCAAAACCCCACACAATGTCACCGGTAAAGAGTCAAAACCCCACACAATGTAACCGGTAAAGAGTCAAAAACCCCACACAATGTAAACCGGTAAAGAGTCAAAACCCCACACAATGTCACCGGTAAAGAGTCAAAACCCCACACAATGTAACCGGTAAAGAGTCAAAACCCCACACAATGTAACCGGTAAAGAGTTAAAACCCCACACAATGTAACCGGTAAAGAGTCAAAACCCCACACAATGTCACCGGTAAAGAGTCAAAACCCCACACAATGTAACCAGTAAAGAGTCAAAACCCCACACAATGTAACCGCTAAAGAGTCAAAACCCCACACAATGTCACCGGTAAAGAGTCAAAACCCCACACAATGTAACCGGTAAAGAGTCAAAACCCCACACAATGTCACCGGTAAAGAGTCAAAACCCCACACAATGTAACCGGTAAAGAGTCAAAACCCCACACAATGTAACCAGTAAAGAGTCAAAACCCCACACAATGTCACCGGTAAAGAGTCAAAACCCCACACAATGTAACCAGTAAAGAGTCAAAACCCCACACAATGTAACCGCTAAAGAGTCAAAACCCCACACAATGTCACCGGTAAAGAGTCAAAACCCCACACAATGTAACCAGTAAAGAGTCAAAACCCCACACAATGTCACCGGTAAAGAGTCAAAACCCCACACAATGTCACCGGTAAAGAGTCAAAACCCCACACAATGTAACCGGTAAAGAGTCAAAACCCCACACAATGTAACCGGTAAAGAGTTAAAACCCCACACAATGTAACTGGTAAAGAGTCAAAACCCCACACAATGTAACCGGTAAAGAGTCAAAACCCCACACAATGTCACCGGTAAAGGAGTCCAAAACCCCACACAATGTAACCAGTAAAGAGTCAAAACCCCCGACACAATGTAACCGCTAAAGAGTCAAAACCCCACACAATGTAACCAGTAAAGAGTCAAAACCCCACACAATGTAACCGGTAAAGAGTCAAAACCCCACACAATGTCACCGGTAAAGAGTCAAAAACCCACACAATGTACCGGTAAAGAGTCAAACTCCACACAATGTAACCGGTAAAGAGTCAAAACCCACAGCAATGTCACCGGTAAAGAGTTAAAACCCCACACAATGTAACCGGTAAAGAGTCAAACCCCACACAATGTCACCGGGTAAAGAGTCAAAACTCCACAACAATGTCACCGATAAAGAGTCAAACCCCACACATGTAACCGGTAAAGAGTCAAAACACCCCACACAATGGTCACCGGTAAAGAGTCAAAACCCCACACATGTCACCGTAAAGAGTCAAAACCCCACACAATGTAACCGGTAAATAGTCAAAAACCCCACACAATGTCACCGGTAAGATCAAAACCCCACACAATGTCACCGGTAAAGAGTCAAAACCCCCACGACAATGTAACCGGTAAAGAGTCAAAACCCCACACAATGTCACCGGTAAGAGTCAAAAACCCACACAATGTCAGCCGGTAAAGAGTCAAAACCCCACACAATGTAACCGGTAAAGAGTCAAAACCCACACAATGTCACCGGTAAAGAGTCAAAACCCCACACAATGTCACCGGTAAAGAGTCAAAACCCAGCAGGTACAGCGATGTAGCCGGTTAAAAGAGTCAAAACCCCCACACAATGTCACCGGTAAAGAGTCAAAAACCCCACACAATGTCAGCC